AAGATTGTGATTTTAACTCAGATATTTGACACTGGAATTCTTTATCACATAAGAAAAAAGTCTGTTTAATCAGGCTTTTTCTAGCATAAGTATTTTATTTTACTTTTTCCCAGCAGTTCTGGTGAAAACACTTAACCACACAGTGATAAGATTTTTCTCCAGTACTTAGAGCTGTAAGCCAAATTTTAATGTTATTTTGTGTCTTTTCACAAGTTCCTTGTCAGGCTATAGCTCAAAAAATCAAAAAAATTTTGCATTGGGGTTCCTAGTGCTGAAGCAAACACAAAGGTTATGTACAAAATTATGACAGGCAAATCTCATATAAATTCCCTCCCAACAAAATTATTAAAATTTTTCATGCCTCCTTAACTTGATTTCAGTGGCTTTTATTCCGTAACTATATTGTGTCAACTCAAACTGAATCAGTAACAAGTTTCTCCCCCCAGATTCTTCACTCTTACAAGAATAACCATAGGACTACTCTGTATTCCAACACAAGCTATGGGAATAACCCTGACTCATGTGAATGCACACAGTTCTCTTCACTCTGTTCTGTTACTCTGATCCAACAGTCATTAAGATTCCCTACGATAAAACAAGAATACCACCTATAGTTCTGCTACCTGGAAACCAGTGCGTGGCAGCAGAGCTCCAAATGGGAGGTCCTTACCTAAGGATGTATGTCTTATGGGGATTTTGCATACTTGGCTATGCTTCCTAGAGCTGACTTCAGTTACCTTTCTATAAAATTTGCAGGGATTTCAACATCTGATGCATTTAATATGTTTTTTTGTAAAGGCAGATTAAGTCTCTACTGGCAGTCATGTTGCTACTGAAGCTACTCACTGGGTGCTTTTTAAAATCATTCAGATATTTTCAGTTAACTTCAGAAGATTAAAATAAACTACAATGCAAGAGAAAATGGAATAAAAGAAATCAGAAGAGAGACAACAGTTGCTTCAGGTACCTTTAAAAAATACGTACAGTTCCCACCAAAACGAAGATTTATGTGAAATACTAAATAATACTTTTGCAAAGTGCGCCGCTAAGTGGTAGCAAACGTCTCTGCAAAACCTATTTGCTTCACAACCCACAAATAACCTTTTTTCTGTCTCTAAAACTACTAAGTCAGTGCTCACACTTGCTGAATATTGGGAAAGACTTCTAGCACAAGTGTCCTAGATGTGTTCAAGAAACACATGCAACATACTTCCCTAAGGGTACATTCAGTAAACTATGGTCAAGGTCAAAATTATTAAGAGCATTTTTTCCTCATACTTTCCTTTATTTATTAAAAGCTCCTTAATATTTTACTTGCATTTTTCTTTTCCATTTAAAAGGTGCTGACTAGGATCATCCCACTGGCTCCAGGTGAAAGAAAAGGATACACTGATTTAAAACAAGCAGAAAATATACCTCAATACAAGAACACATATACTTCTAGCTAAATAGCAAGTTGAAAAAGCCCATTTCATAGGCATTCTTTAACTGACAAGCACTGTGAACATTTAGAGTTAGCAGATGGGTAGCAAATGTATTAAAAGAAACAACACACACTCAAATAATACTGAAACATAATCTCAGCATCAATATTATCAATAAACGGCTGTGCCACTAAATAAAAATTTAAACACACAAGAGGAACTCAATTAGTCTGTCAAAGTTCATTCACCTTCTAAAAGCCATTAAAAAGAACACAGTTAAAATGTGCAGAATACCATCTTATAGAGAAATAATAGAACTGATTATCAAGATCATAGCTATACTTCTTTCACTTTCTTATACAATCTGGTTCTTCCAATTGTGCCTAGCTTTATTCTTAAATTATTTAATTGCTTTAAAAAGGTTTCATTTCATTAGAATTCAGAGTCTAGTCTTCACCAGGAAGTACATAATCATTTTAGTGACGAGTGAGCTTTTTTGGTAGTACTTGCATGATTATACGTGCCAGTTATTGCAATGTCACACACAAATAAGATGATGGAAAACAAAACAAAAAATACTAGGATATTTCATCATAAGAATGTATTAAGTTTTGTTAAAGGATGATGTCTGAAAAATGAGCTTTTATGTATCTCCTCTTGTTCTGGACAAGTTACAGTTTCTTCATCCAACTCTAAGGATCAGTTAAACAAAAGAATAGCAAACAGTAAAGAAAGACACCCTGGAAGTAAGGAAATGATTACTGGGAAGCTGCTCAGAGAGATACTGCTGTTCTAACCTTTCTGTGTGATACTGTAATGGGCCCTTTACACTCATAGGCATTCTGAAGGACTTTTGTAGATTCTACTGTATTAAAAACTTCTTTTGTGCTATAGTGTATTTTTGCTGGTAGGAACAAACAATACTTCATTTTAAAAGGCAATTCTATCTAATATTGGTTAACAACTCAAAAGGGAGAGAATTAACATATTAAGCATTCTTGTTTTGACATTTATGATAAATATTCTCTTTTCATTTTTAACAGGTGTGACTGCATTGCATATATTGAGAACTTCTAACTAATGTTACTTCTGGTTGCCTTACATGATATATGTTCAAATTTTACTTCAGATTGAGGTAAACCTGTCTCTATCGTATTCTTTATTCTAAGTAATTTTTATTACAGCAACATTTTCCATCTTTTATTTCCAAACACTAACCAGAAACAATGGTCCTGGGAACAAAACAGATCATGTTTTTCAACAGGATATCATTGTTCTGGTAGTGCAGAAAAATGTCCAACAGAGGGTGATAGAGACCATAAATTCATTAGACTCAAATTATCTGACTTTAAAAAAATTAAAAATAAGGTGCAGCTGAGGCAGAGCTTCCCACTACAAAGATTTGAATAACCTTGATTACTTCAATAGCTGAGAAAGTCTCGGAGACCAAGGAGACAGGCAATATATGCAACATAATATTTGTGTATCAGACACATTCATCCTTAAATCACATTTAACATAAAGAACAGATAAAAAAGGAACAATACAAGTAATTTAAATAATCTATCCTGACACATAATGTACTTTTAAGAAGAATGAAGCATATCTCATCTGACATAACATTATCAGCTTCCCTCAAATGCAAACATGCTATTGTCTATTTAGAGGAAAAGTTTCACCAAACATGTAGCACTGGCTTTTTCATCTTGGAACCAATGGAATCACTGAAAAAAGAATAACTGAGCCAATAATGACTGCTTCGAAGCACCATGAAGCTGTAATACTGTATTTTCCTTTAGTTTGACATATTTATCTCTGGATACTCCCTCAAATACTAACTCAAAACTTTGAAACAAAGCAGAGTGCAGTTTACATATTACACCAAATGTCAATTTAATTATTGCATTGTTGGACAGGTCCAGTCTCTTGCAGCTGACATCCACCATACAATTTTACTGAGGTTGCAACTACTGAATAAGGAGTGAATTGCTACAGGTTGAAATACCTTATCACAAGAAGCTGGAAAATGTCCAAATTAAGTTCCTCTTCAGAAGAAAAATACAAACGAGCTAGATATCTCTCCCAAAGCCTCCAATGCTCAGCCTTCTGCACCAGTGCAGTTAATACTACGGCCTACGAGGACTCTGTCAACTCCCTCACATCCTCTCAGCTCACACTCTCATTCTCCTTTGCTGTAGTGAAGACCACTACAAAGTGCACAGAATAAAAAGGGCTTTTACCTGTTTTATTTTGGCTTTCTCATGATAATTTAATGCTTGTAAAGCACTGAGCACCAGCACAGAACTGGTTTCATTTAAGTCTTTAAGAATGACAGACTACATCACTTCACTGAACATTAAGTAAGCAACAATGATGAACAGTTTAAAAACACATCAAGATTTTGATTTTTAGGTCTATTTTCAATACCACAGAAGTAAAGAAAGGCAGGGGAAGGAGGTAAACCTAAATACCACTGCAGCCTAGGAATTCCTGACGTTAAGAGAAGGCTAAGGGAGGATCTTATTGCTATCTACATCTAATGGAAAGGTAATGGAACAGGTAGAGTCAGATTCTAAGAGATGTGCAGTGCTAGGATGAGAGACCAAGGCTGCTGAATTTCTATCCTTTCTATCCCAGACCTGCAATGTAAAAGTATCAGTATACACTCCTGTACTCGCACAGGACTCGGATAATACAACAGCTGCTATACTAAGTCTGTTCTTCAGTTTTCTGAGTCATAGGTCAGAACTGTAATCAAAACAAATTTCTGGCCTTTTCTGAATTGGTTTGAGATCAAGGAAAGCTTTAAAGAACAATCAACAGATCTATCATCTACAGAGGAAATTCAAAGCTATGGCTTTGCTTGCATAAGAAATATAGAACAGAAACATACGTGGCATTGTCCAGATGTGCACAAGTATGAGGAATCTGGACATGCAGAGGAAAAGGTTGGATTCATAAGTGATTTCCTCTGGCAAACCAACTATTTACACTGAACTTGACCTTTCACTATTGGAGTTCATGAGTCACATCTGACCCACTTCTAATTCTTTTGCCAACATATATGGGAAACACCAGCCAAGCATCAGATGCCCCTTGATAAGAATATTTCTTTCACTAACCTGACTTGGAAAAATCACATAACATTACACTTAAACTTGCTACCACCTTGCAGAAAGCAGTGTATTTATTCATAACAAAGGTCAGAATGCAAAATGAAAAAAAAAAAAAATCTCTGCTCTAAAGTTTAGTCAAAGAAAGATAATATATTTTATTTAAGCTTCTAATCCTTTTGTTTTTATTTTTTCATGTGGGAAAAACTCACTGGAATTTACCTTAATTGTGGCCAGAACACCTTCTGAATCCAAACTTTCAGATTATATAGTTTGTTCTCAGTAGATAGAAACATTAGCTAAGAAATAAAACCTGTAATAATAAAAGTCAATTTTTTTTTCACATTTACTTTAGAAAGTAATTAAAAGAAATGCAAGACATCATTTCACAGGGACAGTTGCATCAGGCTTTCACAGAAATAAGATATGGCACAGACAGCTGTGCTACAGGGAGCAGCCTTACCTTGCACTGCCCTGCCACGCAGATGGACGTTCCGTTCTGGTCACAGGGTGTCCCATCGATCACCTTCTCAGCTTGTCTCACATAGAACCTGTAGCCTATCGCACGGCAATTCAGCTCACACTTCTGACTCCCCTTCACTGTGGAAAGAGACAGAAGTTCCCATTATAAAGAGCAAGGCAGTCATTTTAAAAAGGAAAAGCCCATTAAACTAACACTAAGGACTGAGAGGAAGAAGCAAATAGGCAAGCTGAATGCCATGTGAATGACTAGATCAAGTGAATGGTGGTTAAGAAACCAACTCCAATATTCCAACACACTTTATGAAAATTTAAACATTGTGCCAGTTTTTAATGACAGATATTTTCCTAAGTGAACAAGAGTATTTTTCGTTTTATAAATTTTTTGCAAAATTTACTCTTCCTAAAATAAAATAACATGACATTTCATAATTTCTAAGTGTCACCATCATTATACTATAATCAGAAAGACGTGCATCTCATTAGGCTCACATAGAAGTCACCGGTCAGTTCAGAAAAAAGAAGCATACCAACATTTAGCATTAAGAAACATTAAAAAAGCCAGATGAATTCTTTATTACATCCATTGTTTTTTCCTCCTCATTTTTATAAGTTACACTTCAGTGACTATTCCTTAGTTCAAGAAAAAAATTAAGGAAATAAAAACTTTTATTTTTAAACATAGAAAAACCACATCATTACTCAAAACCTTGTGATCTCTCTTGACATGTAAAAACCAGAAGGAAATCAGTCCATTGAACTCTGGGCCAGAGGCAAAGAAAAGACAAGAAACAGTTATTTTCTCCTGTGAAAATCTGTTTCTTCAACAGACACAGCCTAACACTCCACATATCTTATGCTATCAAGTTTGTTAACACATTTGTGTAGTCTTTCTATTTCAAATCCTCTGTCATGTTGAAGTTGCACACAGTTCATTACCCCTATTTGCCAACTAAAATAACAATATGTTCAGTTTCTTTCCAACCAAGAGTCGCAGTGTTACACAGTGGCAGTGAGGTACAAACAGAATTCCTTTTTCTTTTGAAAATATTTTCCTTGCTGCCATAATCAAAAGCTAAAATTCCCCTAACTTCACTGAGCTTCAGCTCACACTCTATAATGTAACCGAAACCCACCGTTTAATCTGTCAGTGGAGATGCTATACATCTTAGTTAGGTGCTAAAACATGGTATTCCCAGGATTTTCTACTTGACTTAATGTGTATCTGAATCTTCAACGAAGATATAATAAATAGCCAAGGTAAACACATGCAATTATTTCAAATATATATTTAACATCTGTTTTCAGTAAAGGTAACAAACTTTCAGCTCAACTCAAGTTACATCCTGTGCAGACACAGGATTAGTGCAGACCAATTCTGAAATTTGGATCTTGGATTTCCCCTCACACAGGGATTTAATTGCCAGATGTATTCATCACCTATTGCAACTGGCAATCTTTTGATAAAATACTTAAAAACCTCTACTAATTTTATTTGAGGTCAAAGATCTGTTTAGCTGATTCCCTTCTGGCAGAAGCTATGCATGCCATACTCAACTAGGTCATTTTTCCAGTGGCTATTTTTAGAAGATAGATTCACTCATACTAAGGACTTAATTTATCTCTTTTAAAAAATTATTTTATTTTTTTAGAAAAAGATATGGGTGAGGTATTTCCTTCAGTTAAATCTCCAAGCGTAACAGTTAGTTTTAATGATAAACTGAGCATTATTCTTAGTAGCTTAGTCACTTCACACGTAACTATTTTCAGAATTCTCATATACATATAATCCAGCTTCAGTGATTCATTACAGCTGAAATTAACTTGTCCTTTTCTGTGTCTGAAAGTGTCCTATTTTTATAACCTGCAATACTAGCTATCAAATAGCACCTCTGCAGTGTATATTTTCTTATCTTCCCATTCCCTAAAATCAAATCAAATTAGCCATTTAGGGTTTCTGATATGTCCTTATCTTCTGTATTTATTCCTTTTAGTTCAAAGTACCCTGAAGCCTCACATTCCTATACTCTTCTTCCTCCTATGAATTCTTCAAATTCTTGAAATTCTCAGCTTGTCTTCCCATGGAAAGTTTTGTGCTACTCAGAAAGATGAAGAAATTAACTGCTAGAGCATGGTATTTTTTTCCTGGACCTCTCCCTTTATTTATTATTTGATCAGTAAGCCTACTGCACTGCTACTGCTGATGCTAACAATCACAAGCAGACTAAGCTTCCTAGCTCTGTAAAATATGACTCCTCTTTCATAACCTTCGTCTTTCATTCTTTCTTACTAGGACTGTTCCTGCTCATATAAAAAGAAATATTAAAACAGCCACTGGCTTTGACCAGTATCAAATAAAAATTAAATAAATAAATCGAGCCTTAGCAGTAAACATACACGAGAACAAAAGTTCATATGAGCATCTCACCCTTTTAACTCTTTGGCCTTTGATACTCAGATTCTTTTGATAAGCAACTGCAGGGCATGGCCTCAGTTAGTCATATGCCAATTACTACTGCTTAAAGACAATGTTCCTGGATGTTAGAGATGTCAAAAAAACATTTGTCTACAAAGAGAAAAATCTACAAAACTGAATTGCCCCTATTGAATTTCCCACAAGCGTTTTATGTAAGAATTGTGTATTTACTATGCATAAATTACAGCAGAACAAACATACTTTAGAATTTCCTTGTAAAACAAGATACCACACTAGTAAAAAGCACTGGATTGCCTATTAACTTCACATATACCTTGACAGCCTCCCTTTACCCAGTATTTTGCCACAACTCTTGAGTTTTTATAGTTTAAGCTGTAGGTCAGGCTACACTAGGTCAGGCTTGGCAACTGGACATAAAACGGCAATTAAACAACGAGCTGTGAAGCGATTGATTCCACACAGGCAACATACGTTAGTACTATGTCATCTGATCCCAAACTTTCCAGGAGGATCTATCTGACCTCAGGGAATAAAGTAAGGCTTCTAGGTGAAGAACTTCCAAGCTACCTGGCAGCAAGACACATTTCCACTCAAAAACAGGCTCAAGTATGTCACAGTTACTAAGACCGTTCACTACCGAGGTACTGTTTTACACCTCCTAATGTATTTGCTTTTCATTCTCATGCCCACCTTAGCACAACCCCATCTTTCGTGGAAATTCTCACTTTACCCCACTTTATTAAATAGTGAACTTGGGTGAAATCTAACGCTACCGCACATGTTCTGCCAGACGTATTCATTATTGATATAACTGAAGGAGGTGCCTTTGATAAACAACCCTGGTAACATGTAATGTTTGGTTTTCATTTTACATAGACTGAAAAAGTATCTAAATCCAAAAAAAATGTTTCTTATCCTTGCCAAACTAGTTTTGAGTACCTCACAGCTTCTCTAAACCAGGCTTGTCTAAACTGCAAAACGTGGGAATTTTTCTCAAGTCCTCTGTTGAAACTTACCTCAGACCCTTCCTCACAAGGAACACTTGACCAGTAAAGGGTACCGAGACCTCATGTTAATTACAAACTGCATTTGTTCTGCATCACAGAGCAGATATTGCAATTAAAACCTTCTGCCATAAATCGATCCTTTTACGTGTTCTTCCAAGACACCAAAGCCCTGCAGATGGGCACTAATTTAGAAATCATTATCCTTCCAGAGAGATGAAACCTGAAATCCTAGCCCTGCCAGCAGTAACACCATTAAGCACAAAAGCCAGCCTTTCTAGTTAATTGGTCCTATTTATTGATGCACTAAAACTCACACAAACAATGTATTTTATATTGCCTAATAATAAGTGTAAGCCTGGAAAAAGTGGAAACATGATGTTCTGAAGTGCTTTTTAAGAAGTTCACACAGCAAGCCATACTCAAAATCAATGCAATAGTGGAGGAGTAGGGGCAACCCATACGTTAATCTATAGTTGTTTTCCTTCTCCTAAGAGTTATTTAATTGATCAAACTTAAATCACAATTAAATATCAATACAATTCATTTCCCCTGAACAGCTTGCTTAAAAGCAGATTTCAGTGCAGTACAGGTTTGAGAAGAAAACTCCCCCACAATAAAAAAACAACAACAACAAAACAACCCACACACATTTCCTACGGGGAAAAAGACAGATTTAGATGTTATCACATTACAACGAACGGCTGAAGTTCAAACTAGTACTTCAGCAGCACTTCAGGCTAAGGCCTCTTCACTGACCTGGCTAGGAAAAGGCACAGGCAGCAGCATTCCTG